AAAAATTACAATTACATTCCACTATATTTAGAGACTTCTCTGTGAAGCTAGAGGTGAGTTTGTTTGTTTGTTGTTTGTGTGCTTGCTTGTTTTAAGTAGCTTAGAATTTATATTACTCCAAGACCAAAATCTAAATTCACTGCCATGAACTCAATGGTGATTCATAGGCACCTTATAGGCCAGGGCAGCACTGTCCCTGTGAGTTTCTGAGACTGTAACTCTTTACAGGAGTAGAAAACTCCGTCTTTCTCCCATGGAGTTCCTGGTGGTTTCGAACTACACATCTTTCAGATCGCAACCCAACAGGTAACCCTTACCCTATCATTATCATTACTGGCAGCCCCTAATTTACAAGGCAGTTAGGTTATAAAGGTCTATTCTTAAGCAGTTGTTCAGACTCAGAAGTAAATCTTCCACAGGCGGGAAAATTGTAAATGATTGAGCTCACCGATCAAATAGGAAAAGTTGAGTTCACTCTATAGATAGTGTGAGGGGCAGGGCTCATGGTTATATTTCAAGTTCAACTAACCACTCTATTGTTGCAAGACATATCAAATTCCAATTCCCAATACCAGGCACATTCTAGGACTCATCTATTTCCCTGCTTCTGCTTTGAAATTCTCAGTAAAAGCACTAGAGCTCCCAACTCCCTCAGAGTTCTTCTGTGGCATTTGCATAGAAGGACATATTTGGGTCAGTCACTGTTGATCGGTGCCCTTGCATCAGTTCCAACTCCTAGCAATGCTGGGTACAACCGGATGAAACATTGCCCCGTCCTAGGTCCTACAGTTCTGACAACTGCTATGTTTGAGCCCATTGTTGCAGTCATTGTTTCAATGCATCTTGTTGGGAGGTCCTTCTTTTTTTACTTCCCTTCCACTTTACCAAGCATGGTGTCCTTTTCTGGGGACTGGTCTGTCCTGAGAAAATGTCTTAAGTACACAAGCTGTTATCTCACTATGTTAGACAGGCTTCTCTAGAGAGATAAAACCAGATTGCTAATAATTTTATATATATTTATACAGATAGATAGATAACATAAGAAATAAACAGTTAATTAAATTATAAAGCAGTATAAATGTCTCAGTGCAATTCACTCCCGTGAGACAGCTATGAGACACTGGAAGTCCTTCAAGTCTTGAGGGACGCCGGGTAGTCCTCTGCAGAGCAATTCAGGCTATCTGGGCACAGGCAGCAAACAGCAAGGCAGGTCACCAACAGTCAGCCAGATGACAGGGTCTGACAGTTCCCAACTCAAAAGATGTAAATTCCAATGGTGTGGTGAAGCAGGTCTTGAAGGAACCTCAAATAACAGCGACACAGTCCACAGTTAGGTGTCCCACAGGTAAGTGTAGCTTGCAAATTAAGGCACGGAACAAGTAAGGCAGCCATTAAAGAGCAAGAGACCAGAAAGGTGAGGGTCGCCGAACCATTTAGCTCTCTGCCCTTCAACTAATCCCACATGTGTTTATCAGCCAAGTTGGCACAATAAACTAACTACCACACTCACCATCCTTGTTTCTAAGGAGAATTCTGGCTGTACTTCTTTCAAGTCAGAACAAATGCTTTTGTTCCTCTGGCAGCCAATGGCACTTTCAGGATCCTCTACCAGCACCACAGAGCAGGTGCATCAGTTCTACTGTGGTCTTCCTTAAGCATTGCCCAATTTTCACATGATTATGAGGCAACTGAAAATACCATGTCTTGGGTGGGGCACATTAATGCTCACAGTGACATCCTTGCCCTTCAACATTTTAAGGAGGTCTTGTGATGCAGCAGATATGCCCAATGCAATACATTGTCTAATTTCTTGACTGCTGCTTCCATGAGCGTTGATTGCTCTTACCTGATCTCAGAAGCTAAGCAGGGTTGGGCCTGGTTAGTACTTGAGTGGGATACCACCTGGGACTATAGAGTGCTGTAGTCATTGTTGGGGTGTGTGTATTAGGGGAGAGGAGCATAACCTACTCAAGAAGCAGTCTGTATGGTCAAAATCTCCCCTAAAGGTAAACAGTGAGGTAGAAAGTGCCCTGGAGTATTAATCTTGACTATTACCTCTAAAACCTTGGATGACTTTCTTCACATATTTGGGCCTTAGTTTTTATTCAACTTAAGGAATAAATAAAGACAATGCCAAATTTCTAAGAAGAAAATTTGTTGTCTTCAAGAGAATTTCATAGAAATCGATCATGTGGCTGCTCTCCTTTCCTCAAACAAAATAAGGTCCCTCTGGACAAAGTGATTTGTTAAGGCCCCTTTTAGCCCTAGCATTTAAAGTTCCAAGTCCAATGTTTCCCAGTTAGGCAGATAACGACTGTTGAGTTGACTCCCAGCTATGGCAATCTTACATACAACCAGAACATTGCCCAGTCCTGCCTCATGCTCACCCTCCCCAGTGTGACCGAGTCCATCATTGTGGCCACTGGCTGATCCTTCTCACCTTGCCCTCACTGGCCCTCTACTTCACCAGACATACTGCCCTCCTCTAGTGATTGGTCCCTTCTGATGATGTGTCCAAATCTTTGGGAACATTCATTCATTGATGGGTTATGACTCACCATGAAAAGAAACAGTTGCCAAATATCCACTAATAATCAGAACATAGAATGTATGAAGTATGAATCTAGGAAAACTGGACGTCATCATAAAGGAAATAGAATGCGTAAAGATCAATATTCTAGGCATTAGTGAGCTGAAATGGACAGGTATTGGCCATTTTGAATTGGAAAATCCTCTGGTTTACAATACTAGGCGTAACTGATTGAAGATGAATCGCATTGCCTTATCCATGGTCTAAAGGAACGTCTCAAGATCGATCTCAAAGTACAATTCTGTCTGTGGTAGGGTAACAGCCATTTATCTACAAGGAAGACCAGTTAACATGGCTATTAATCAAATTTATATTGTAATCACTAAAGCCAATAATGAAGAAATTGAAGAATTCTACCAACTTCTTCAGCCTGAAATTGATCAAATATGCAATCAGGATGCATTAATAATGGTTGATGATCCAAATGCAAAAGTTGGAAACAAAGACGAAGAGTTGGTATTCATAAAATATGACCCTGGTGATAGAAATAATGCTCAAGATCATATCATATAATTTTGCAAGACTGAAAACTCATTTGTTAGTGTTATTAATAACAACTCATTTGGTGTTGTTTGCAAACACCATTTTAAAATAACATAAACAACCTTGCACGTTCGAATGCACAAAAATCAAATTGGTTATACTGTGGAAAGCGAAGATTGAGAAACTCACTATCAGCAACCCAAACAAGGCCAAGGGATGACTAGGGATCAGACATAAATTACTCATCTGTAAATCCAAATTGAAGCTGAGGAAAGTGAAAGCAAGTCCATGAGAGCGAAAACATGACCTTGAATATATCCCCATGAATTTAGAGACCATCTCAAGAATAGATTTGAATCACAGAACACTAACAACCCAAGGCCGAAAGAGTTGTGGACTGACATCAGGAAGACCACATACAAAGAAAGTGAAAGGTCGCTAAGAATATGGAGAAGAAAGGAAGTGGAGGTCAGAAGAGACTGAATCTTGCACTTGCACATAGAGCAGCTAAAGAAGGTGGAAGAAATGATGGAGTCAAAGAACTGAACAGAAAATTCCAAAAGACAGCTCAAGTAAACAAAGTAAATTATTATGACACAATGTGCAGAGACAGAATTAGAAAGCAGAAAGGGGAGAACAAAAGGCATTCCTCATACTAAAAGAACTGAAAAAAACTCAAGCTTTAAAATGCAAGACTGAGGATTCTGATGGAGCATAATAAGAGGATAAAACAAATACACAAAGTCAATGTCCCAAAAAGAATCGGTAGCCATTCAACCATTTCAAGATATAGCATATGATCGAGAGCTGATGGCACTGAAGGAAGAAGTCCAAGCTGCACTGAAAGCATTAGCAATAAAAAAAGTTCCAGCACTTGATGGAATGCCAACGAAAATGCTTCAACAAACTTGTAGTGCTGGAAGCACTCATTAGTCTACATCAAGAAATTTGGTAGTTAACTATCTGGCCAACCCACTGGAAGAGATCCATCTCTGTGCCCGTTCCAAAAGAAGAGGACCAAACAGAATGTGGAACTTATCAAACAATATCACATGCAAGTAAAATTTTGCTGAAGATTATTCAAAAACTGATGAAACAATATATTGATAGAGAACTGTCAGAAATTAAAGCCATATTCAGAAAAGGACAAGGAACAAGAGATGTACCATTGCTGATGTCAGATGGATCTTGACTGAAAGCAGAGAACACCAGAAAGATGTTTACTTGTGTTTTATTGACCCTGCGCAAAGGAATTCAATTGTGTGGATTATAGATTATAACAAACTATTGATAACGTTGTGAAGAATGAGAATTCCAGAACATGTCATTGTGCCACACAGCATCTAACCATAGACCAAGAGCCAATCATTCAAACAGAACAAGGGGACGTTACTGTTTTGAGCAATGGTTTAAAATCAGGAAAGGGATGTGCAGGGTTGTATTCTTTCACCATACTCAGTAATCTGTTGCTGAGTAATGAATCCAAGAAGCTGGACTGTATGAAGAAGACTGTGGCATCAAGACAGGAGGAAGGCTCATTAACAACCTGTAATATGCAAATCATGTGCAAAATAGTAAAGGACACAAGAATTATCTCGGGAAGATGGAAGTAATACACAGAGTCACTGTACCAAAAAGAACTAGTGGATGTTCAATCACTTCAGGAGGTAGCATATGATCAAGAACCTTTAATATCAAAGCAAAAAACCCGAGGTGCATTGAAGGCATTGAAGAAAAAGCCTGGCTCTAAAACTGACACAACACCAGTTGCTTGCTGAAAGTAAAGATTTAAAGATTTGCTGATGAGTATCAACTGCAAGCTTTAGTAAAGAGAAAACCCAAATTCTCACAAACGGACCAGTAAGCAGCATCATGCCCAACCGAGAAAAGATGGAAGATTTCAAGGACTGTATCATGCTGGAGCCCACACTCAACACTCAGAAGCAGCACTGCGGAAATCAAACCAGGTACTGCATGGGCAAGCGTACTGGAAAGACCTCTCTGAAGGGTTAAAAAGCGAAGCCGTCATGTTGAAAACTAGGTGCTCCTGACCCACGCCCTGGCAATTTTTTCAATCACCTCATATGCACATAAAAGCTAGACAATGAACAGGAAGACCAAAGAACTGATGCCTTGGAGTTACGATACTGGCAGAGAATACTGAATATGTACCACTGTCTGGCAGGATAATAAACCTATCTGTTTAAGGAATATGGCCAAATGCTCCTTAGAAATGAGGATGGCGAGCAAGACGGAGTTTCACCTACCTCCTTCAGGCGTGTTATCAGGAGGGACCACTCCCTGGTGAAAGGAATCCTGCGTGGTAAAGTAGATGATCAGGAAAATGTGCGGAAGACCGCATTAAGCTACATTGGCACAATGGCTGCAACAGGGAGCTCAACATAGCAAGGATTGTGAAGATGGGGCAGGACCAGCAGTGTTCCACGCTGGGGGGCACAAGGTTTCTGAGTGTGGAACCGGTTCAATGGCATCCTAACAACAGCAGCAGTCAGTTCACCCCCCACCCCCCCACGCACACACACACTTCAATTACTCTGACATCTTTCTGTCTGGGAACCATGGCAGAAGTGAAAATCAAGTCACTCTATCTATTTCTTTTCTTTCAGGAAAAGGAGCGCTGGATTGCTTGTCCTGTGTCTGGAGTTACCACCTCGTGGGAGGAATCTGTACTTCGGACTGTTTAACAGGGAACTACAGAGTGGGAGAGGTACTGAGATCTGAGAATGGTTTCCCTCCAGAAAGGGAAATGATTTCAATTACTGCTCATTCTAGACAAAGATAAAAAGTCCCAAAGGTAACCATTCAGTAGAGTTCAGTTTCAATATGTTAAAGTCTTCTATCACAGCATCAAGCAATAATGACACCAACTACCTGCAGCCTTACTTTCAAACGAAGGACCTGAGATGTCTCAGGTAAACAGTAGGACAATTAAGTAATAAGAACTCCATCATTCATTGCATATTAATTGTTGGTGATCTTAGAGGTTTAAGGTCAATGCAGGAATAGTGTGTCAGAAATAGCAACTGTCTTCTTTCCATCCTACTTGCTGTTTAACTTGAAGCATCTGAATAATGTAGAAGCCACACAGCTAATGTTGGTCCTTCTTTCCTCTGCCTTGTCAACGTATACGAGGAAGGGGTATTAGTCCTGGAGGAACAAATCTAGAAGCACTCATATATGTAAGGGAGAACTTTATATTAAGAAATAATTATGCATCAGTAAAACATGCCAGCCCATCCATCAGTTCAATATTAGGCCATAAGTTCAAGAGTAGCCCATGAATTCCTCTTCAGACTCACACAGCACATGCAATGATGCCGAATGTAGGTAGATCACAGGCCACTGGGTGGGAAGTACTGTGGGCCCAATGGCTCCAGGGTTCTAGCTGCCAACAGTGTGGCTCCATGTGGCTTGTCAACAGGAATGTGAAGCAGAGAAAGAGTGTGTCCCATCTCCAGGGAGGAAGAGAGAAAGTCCCACAATCCTCACGAGAAGGCCACGCCCACAGGGAGGGATCACTAGGCTGTGACCTGATTGACAGGCTAGACTCCACCCCTTCATTCTTATTTATCAAGTTGACATGAAACTGTGTAACGACCACAGAAGGATATAAAATGTGTTTGAATAGAAGCCATGGCTTGTGTGAAGTCACTGAATTTTAAGTTGTGTTTCCAAATGTCAGAAAATAAGTAAATATTTCTATGCTGAATTTAATGTAAACCAGCAATGTCCATTGATACCTTTAAATTCTGGCAATGGGCGTATTTACACTCTGGAAGAAGCTGAGGTTCAGAGAGGTTAGATACTGTGTTAACCATCACATGCCTTGTAAGTGAAAATGCAGGGATTGGACTCCAAAAATTTAGGATTTATGGAACTCACCACTGAGCCCCATATCGGTAATTTTCATTCCTTCTCATTGCAGACACACCTCAGGAATAGTGCAGTTTCCCTTTCAAACCATCACAATACAATGAGCACAGTAACATGCGTCAGCCTTTTTTTGTTTGTTTCCTGGTACCTATAATTTATGTACCTGTGAGTTATATGCCCACTATAACTATATAGTAGTATACTATAGTCTACTAAGTGTGGAACAGCATTCAGGAAAAGTTTGAAATATCGTGAAACTTACCAAAATGTGATACAAAGACCAGAAGTGAATGCACACTGTTAAAAAAAAATGGTGCTATTAGACTTGCTATTTGGGCAAGTCAGGGCTGCCACAAACCTTCCACTTGCTAAAAACAAACAAAAAATAATATCTCAGAAGTGGAGCATGAAATAAAATGAGATATGCCGGTCTATGATATTCCCCAAATTACAAAGTACGTTCAAGAAGCATTTTCCCTAATGTCCATGTCCAGAAGCAAAGGGCACCCTGTTGAGGGAGGAGCCCTTTTCTTCATTCCTTGGCCCTTTTCCTAGTGAGAGTTCACCTCTTTGCTTCCACAGTCTCAGCAGTTTGAGAATTTACCAACAATAGAGGCCAAACAGGTATGCAAATGAGTAAAAGAAACCCCCTAGGCAAACCTGATTCAAAGGGAAGCTTGTCTAACCTGTATGTTGGTGACACCACAGTAGGAACTGTGTCAAATAGGAGCACACAAAAGGGAGCCACTGGTATCCAACTCATGTGTGACATTACCATGTGGGAGTAGCGGACCCAGCACTGACAGATCACCTAGTTTTAAAGAGAAAATCGAAATTGATATTTACATGTGAAATCGCCCAATTTTAGACTGTGGATAACTAATTCAGAATGATTTAAACTGAGATAAAGCCTGACAAAACTTGTCCAATTGACCAAGTGAGCAACTAGTTGGTTTGCATTCTGGAATATTCTAGAAGTTTGTGCTGCCACAACTGTCACTAGGCAAATTCCAGAGGGCCAGGACCCTGCGAACTGTTGTCCAAGCAGACAATTGGCCACCGGAACCATTCTAAGCAGACAGTCTTTCTACGTCTCCTACATGCCTCCCTCCCTTGTGGAGATAAGATGGAATTCCTAGCTGGGAATTCCAGTGCCTTCTTAATCCTTCCAGACTCAAAAGGAACCTCATGGTTGTTCTTGACAGGGAGAGAAATTTGACTGTGAAAAATGCCACGAGAGCTGCATGGAGTGCAAGGGACCGGGAGCCAAGAACTGCACCGTGTGCCCTGCCGACCTGGTGCTACATCTGGACGACAACCGCTGCCTGCGATGCTGCAACAGTTCTGATGCCACGGACGCCCAGGAGTGTTGTGACTGCCACGAAAGCATGGGTGAGCGAGGAGCACCGAAGTTAATGGGAGAAGGGGCAGAGTTCAAGGGAATCAACAGGGCTCCCGTTTTATCGAGAGTCCCAGAGAGGTGAAAATGGTTTAGCATTTGACTACTAACAGAAAGGTTAGAGGTGCAAACCTACCCAGATGCACCTCAGAAAGGTCACTTCCATCCAAAGTCCTATGGCGCAGATCTCTACACACATGGGGTGATGAATCAGAACCGGCTTGACAGCCACTAACTGCCTCCTTAGTGTATGCCTGCTGTGTACCTCCCGTGCGGGAAACGTCTTGTCCATCACCTCACTTTCCAAGGACATATGTATTCCATTTGACAGATGAAGAAAATGGATCTCAGAGGTTGATTGGTATGCACAAGTTCACAGCGATGTTCCACATTTATAATTAGAGTGCACACTCGTTCCACTGCTAGCAAACCTACTTAAAGAGGCCTAGAGTCTCACCTTTATGCATTTCCTCGGTTTCTATTTGTAGTCTTTCCTTATGAGGCAAAAAGGGAAAGAATGAACTATCAAGGGAGGTGAAGTCAATGTTGTCTTGATTGTGTGGCATTATTGGCCTCAAAAGTAAATGACCCAGAATAGAATTCTTTCTGATGAAAAAGGAAATATATATTCTGAAAGTATATTCTCTAGCCAGAAGTCGGCGGTTTCTATGGGGTTCCAATTCATCATTGCCTGACAGAAAGAGGTGTCATATTTATGACACTCTGTCCATTTGTATGGAATCTCCGGGTGGCACAAACCGTGAACGCTTGACTGCTAATGAAAGCATTTAAAGGTTTGAGTGCCCCAGAAGCCCCTTATAAGAAAGCCCTTTCCATCTACTTCTGAAAAACCAGACACTGAAACCCCTATGGAGCATAGGTCTACGCTTATCACACATGGTTTTGAGGGTAGATACGCAGTCTATGTGCAGTACTATGAAATAAATCCTGCCTGAGGCAGGAGAACCGGTAAAAAGCCCTCTTGAGTTAGTTTCAATAACTGGGGTGCCATAGACACCCATGCCCTGAGCAACACGTCACAGTAAAGTAAAGGCTTCAGTAAAGAATCAGCTTTCTATGAATCCGAATCAGCTAATGGCAACTGGGGCATTTATATATGAAGGAAATCCAAGACCCACAATGGATCCTAGTCATGTTTTATTTTTTGAATCGGCCTTTTAAATAGATTTCTAAATAGCTCCCTTTCTAACACATTCTTTCCTGCTCTTCTCTTACCCACCCCAGCAGCGTCTGTGTTCCCAGCGCCTCACACATATCCACCTTCAGGGTCTATGCTGTGTCACTGAGGACGAATACCCCTCACTCTATCGATGCCTTTTAGCGAAATGAGAAGTGTGTGCAATTGGGTGCAGAGTTGCTGCAAGTTTATTTCAACTAGGAGCTATGGAGTAAACTTTCTGGTCTTTCTAGGACTCTTGAAGAGCTCTTCGGAAGCCTAAATACTCTTGATGACCTTCAAGTCTGAATACTCGTGATTACTTTCTGATTCTTGACTGACAGTTTGCCCCTTCAAAGAAACCAGACGGCAGAGATAGACCCTGGCCCAGCAGACCTAAGACTGGAGAATACTAAACAAGACATGAACGCATATGGCATGCTAGTCACTGAAACTAGCCCAAAGAGGCTTTCGTAGGTTTCCGGCCGCAGGCAGCGTGTAGCTCCAAGTACCACACAAAGATTGCTTATCCACTCAACCCAAACTAAAAGAACCAGCCCCACTGCCATCAAGTTGATTCCCGCTCATAGCGAACCTCGACGAGGGGAGAGCTACTCCCCGTGGTTTCCAAGACTGTAAATCTTCATGGGCGCAGGCAGCCTCATCGGTCACCATGGGGTGGCTGGGGTTTCAAAGGGCTGACCGTGTGGCTAGCAGCCCATGAACACCAGCCCACTCTGCTCCCAGGGCCCTCCTCATCCTCTGGCGCGTTAGTGTTTCCACCAGGGAAAATTATTTTGCAGATGTTGCTAATCATGTGTGCGACCATGAGTGTGCTGCTCTTGTTGGGCACTAGCAGAAAGAGAGGGAACTGTGTATTGGCCATGAATTACGTAGTTCTAATTGGTCAATATCTCATACGCAAAAATAATGGTACTTGACAGCAGTATTATATCCATTAAACTAGCCTGGATCAGGCACTTGAAATCTACCATAAAAAAAACGGTAGGGGCCTGTCTACCTCAACAAATATGTACAATCTACTGGGTGTTTCAACTTGTACATCTAATGTGGTTTTTATACGCTTTTTGCTGACACTCCGGTTAAAGAGGTTAAACAGCAAATTAGGTCACTCATCCAAATGAGTACAAAGTTTTAAGAAGTAGGGAGAAGTGAGTGCATTTCCTGAAGTCGGGGTGGGTTCCTTCCTCTGTGACAGCGATTTGGCTGCTCCGTGTTCGCAAAGCATCCAAACCGAAACTGGCGGGCGGTGCGACCATAGAACCATGGACAGAGCTCTCCATCCCAGACGCCTTGATTATGATCAGGGAACGCCCCTGTCCTACAAGGTGGTGGGCAGGACTGAAAGATGGCACTCTGTCCCTGTCACGCCGAGGCCACCGGAGCTGTGAGGGACAGTAGAACTGTCCGAGCATTCTGTCCTAATATCTCCAGACTCTAGAATGGAGTCAGCATTCCTGGGCTTGAATTCTGCTCGGTCCACTAACAGATTTTTGCCTCTGGTCGTGTGACAATTCGTTCCCTTTATGTGGGCGTCCGTCTTCTTAACTGACACACCAGGGGATGTGTAAGCTTCGCCCAGCTTTAATACAGAAAACAGGACCAGGGGTGGGAGTGGCGATACTGGGAGGGTCGAGGGAGGGTTGGTTGGAAAGGGGGAACCAATTACAAGGATCTACATGTGACCTCCTCCCTGGGGGACAGACAACAGAAAAGTGGGTGAAGGGAGACGTCGGACAGGGCAAGATATGACAAAATAATAATCTATAAATTATCAAGGGTTCATGAGGGAGAGGGGAGTGGGGAGGGAGGGGAAAAATGAAGACCTGATGCCAGGGGTTTAAGCGGAGAGCAAATGTTTTGAGAATGATGAGGGCAATGAATGTACAAATGCGCTTTACACAATTGATGTGTGTATGGATTGTGATAAGAGTTGTATGAGCCCCTAATAAAACGATTTTAAAAAAAGAAAAAAACACGGTTAATAGTGAATAGTTTCAGGGTGAGAGAGTTTTACTTGGACTGAGCATAGAGTAGCTGGAGATTGGACTCCCCTTAGAGAAACTCAGAGTTGGGACAGAAAACAGAACACTTAGTAATAATTGAAGCATAGTCCAAATTGGAACATTATTTTTTCTCAGAATAGAAATTGAAGAACCTGGTTGGTGAGGTTGAATTCCTGGGGACTAACCATGAGGTTTGAGACTGGGGGGCCCCCTCTGGATCTCAAATTAACCTTCTTCCTAGAAGGATTTGTGAATGTCATTAGACAGGCTGAGATATATAGTACACTTTCAAAGAGCGATGCACCCTCTTAGATTCCACCATGTTAGGTTTTTAAAATGAAGGCAATGTGTATGCAATGTAATACTATTCGGCCATAAAGAGAAATTAAATTCTGATATATTCTATGGCATGGGTGAACCCTGAAAATTATGCCAAGTGAAATAAATCAGATGCAAAATCACAAATATTGTTTGCTCTCACTTACACAAAACATCCAGATTAGGTAAATCTATGTAGGCAAAAGTTTGATAGTGGTTCACAGGGTTGGGAGGGAGCGGAGTGGACTCCTGAAGGGTACTGAATTTCACTCTGGGGTGGTAGAAAACTTGTTGACATGGATGATCGTGTTTGCTGCTTGGTGGATATGATTCATGAGTTATAGACCTAACCTGATTAAAATGGCAAGATTTTTGTTATATATACTTTACCATAGTAAATGTTTTAAAATTCTATTTAACCATAAAGACATAAGCAAGGACCTAACAACCTATGTTTATCGGTGGCTACCAGAGGTGGGTTAGAGTGGGAGGAACTGAAGGATCCTAAGCATCTGTTTAGGGTAAGGAGAAAATTCAGGAACGGTCCATGGTGATGGGAGAACAACATGATGCATGTAATTACCCTCACTCACCTGTACAGGTGAAGACTATAAAAATGATGAATGTGCTATCTAGGTCCTTACTACTATTTTAGAAAATAGGACACAGTTATTTACCTCAGAAACTAATTTTCTCCGCTTGTCTTCTTGCCCGTCCCTCCCCTCCTCCTTGGGGGTCGTCTTCCACAGCTGAGTGCATCCTGAGAGCCAGTGAGAGGGGGCCTCCAGCGGAGCATTCCAAGACAGCTCTGCTGGTCACCTCCTCCATTATGCTGGGGCTGCTGGTCGGGGCCGCGGTGCTCGTCTGGAGGAAATCCCGACGCAGGGCCCAGCCCGGGGAGAAGGCTGGCTATGAAAAGCTGACTGACCCAAACAAGATTTACTCTTCCTACGTGAGCAGTTCTCGTGGGGGCACCAGCTTTGAAGAGGACCAGGTGATCGAGTACAGAGACCGGGACTATGAGGAGGAGGAGGAGGATGACATCGTCTACATGGGCCAAGATGGCACCGTCTACCGGAAGTTTAAGTACGGACTGCTGGATGACGACGATGGGGATGAGCTGGAGTATGACGACGAGATCTATTCCTTTAAGTAAACAGAAGGCACACACCCCGCCCCCACCTCCATTCCACTCACAGCCTGTGCGTGAGCACTGCTCTGCTGGTTTTCATGCACACACACACAGCCCACGTGTCAGTGTCCGTCTCTGTCTGCCTGATCACAAGTCCAAGCAGGGTTAGGTTGGGTGGTTAAAATCAATGAACAGTTCCTATTCAACCATAAGCGAGGCGCCTTCCCTCCCAAACTATGTCAAGGCATAAATTGAAAACAAGTGAGATTTCTACACACTGTTTCATGTGATTTAAAAACGGGGCAATGCACACATAGAAATTCCTCTTCCAAATTGTATATGGGGAAATTTCAGCGGCCTCTGGCATTTGGATATTTCTTTCAATAATTCTTAAGTGTGTGAGGGCAGAAGAGTTGTTTCTTATGGGTGATCACGTTTCGCACTGTGCAGTTCATGTAGTTAGCGCCCTCTCCATGCCAAGTATCGACTGATGCTTGGGTCTACCACCATGCAGACCCACCGTGGGTCAGAGTCCCGACAAAGCGAGAAGATAGCAGGCAGGCGGCAGCATGCCCCAGGAAGAAAAGCCACTGGGTTTCCAAGAATCACAACATTACACACCCTTATGATTATCTGAGTGCTTTTCTGGTAGGAAACATCAGGTAAAACATCATGCCCTGAAAGAAAAATGGGAGTGATGACCCAACATAAAATGGGATAAAATAGCAAAAAACGTTATTCGCCCGAAAGCAAGGATGTCATGGCTAAGTGACGTAGCAGGCCATCCTGGAATGGCAGATGCTCCATAGAAGAAACTAGAGTCTAAAAGAAGCAACCCCCAAATCCTGCTCACAAGTTCTCTCCCAACTGCTGCAGAGGCTGACTCTGCTCTTTATCCCTGTGCCCTCTGACTTCGGGCATTCTGGGTCAGGGCACCTGGAGGAAGGTTCCCTACAGACAGTCAAACTGACAGACTCTGGCTGTGAGAACGTATACGCTCAGTGTCTTCCAGAGTTCCCTGCCGAATACAAAGTCCCAGGCAGTCCGAGGAGTAAAATACCAGAAGGTGAAAATGTCCTTTTCTGGTGATCATGATAATAAGATGTCATCTGTACCTACTACGTACCAGGTACCAAGCTAAAGAACTCTATTTCAGAAGCAAACAAGTGACTAATTCTACTTAACCCTAACCAGAATCCCCTCATGGTAGTCCCATGCAGAAAGATTGGGCTTTCTACTCTCATAGAGTTAGTCTCGGAAACCTGCCAGCCGCTTCTACCCTGTCCTACAGTGTCACTACAAGTGGGCATTGGCTGAAAGGCAGTGAGTACTATTTTTACCACTTTTCCCAAGAAGCCAAGGTTTACAGAAGGTTAAGTAACTAGCCCAAGGTCACAGGCAATTAAGCAACTTCTTGAAATAGAACAAGTTTAAACAAACAACTGACCCTGAAGTTCATGCGAATATCTATGCTATCCTGATTGTTAGTTACAGAGAGTGGGAAAAGAGGTGCTGTGGATATAAAAAAGGCCTGTCTATTGTTTCAAGACACCAGTATGATCCTGGCAAACGGAATGATCTTTTACTAAATGCACACATTTCCTTTCTTTGTTTTGAATATGATGTAACAATAGCACCAGCAATTTTCAGGAAGGTATCTGTAGTTTATTGATCCCCTCAGTGTTTCTTAAAAGGAAAGTTCTGAAAATAAGGGTCAGCACCCTTTCTCCAGAAAGGGCCAAATCATAAACCTTGCAGGCTGTGCAGAGCAGATAGTTTCTGTCCTAAGGACTCAACTCCGCCAGTGTGGTGCAAAAGCAGCCAATAGATAACAAATGGGTGTGGCTGTGGTCCAATAAAACTTTATTGATGGACACTGATATTATAATTATTCCTATGCCCTGTGAACTAGTCTTCTTTTGATTGTTTTCCCACCCATTGTAAAAATTAGTAACAGCTCTAGCAATGCAAACACAAGTAGCAGGCCTGGTCTAGCCAACAGGCTAGCGTTTGCTGCCTCTCTCTTACATGGAAATTCTCAAGAGAACTCACATTTATAAATCACATGCATATCACACATAAAAATAACACATGATAAGCTTCCAAGATTTTGATCTTGTAAAATCATCTATTTGAAATCTATTTAAAGCCCTGATGGTTCCATTTTCAATCCTTAGAAACATGTAAGACTACATGTCTGAGCACCACTGTATAAATGAAAGAATTTCTCACCTCTTGCTGTGCAATTATAGAATATAGCCTCTGGAAACAATGTTTATACTGTGTTGTTCATTTTCTTGATAATTCTAATACTGTGATACACTGCTTGGCATCCTTTCTATTGCCTAGGGATAGTTTTCCAAGAAAAATCTGTGTTTTGATACACAGTTCAAGGTTGAATGAGGTCAAGATGAATACCAAGAAAAATTGTGTTGTTGCTACTCCCTGTGGTTTGCATTGAAAAGAAGTCCAAGTTTGTGTGCTGGCAAGGTTTGTCGCCTTCCCTTCTTTGTTCTTAATCGTGTGACATTCGACTCAGACTAATTCTAAATCTTATGCTCACAGCTGTTTCAATAGATAAACATGTGGTTGAAAAACAAAGTCCCCTTTTGGTTTTCTGTTTGAAAATAGTGTTTTCTGTTAGAAACATGTTGAAAATATTAAGAGCATCCATGCAGACTGTAAATAAGAGGGTGCCTCCAAACGCTCTGGGGAAAATGGCATTAAAAGTTAATGGAAATCTTCCACAAACTTTTCGAAGCCTTCTCATACACCAATCAATTGCCTAAGGGTTTGGGAGGGCTCCAGTTAGTAGAAAGTAATTTTAAAATTGGAAAGCACATCAAGACCAGATAAGGTTATGGGGACTTGTTTATTGAAATCTTTTTATTGAGCACCTGGTGATGTGCTTATGAACATTATGTGTATGTGCTGTATGTATATGTATATATACATATGTATATTCATACAGTTCATACAGCTGCGATCCAGGAAATCATGTGCAGCCACTCTGCTCTATCATCATGGGTCACTGTGAGTACGAATTGATTCAATGACTGCCAACAACATGGATTAGGTTGTAGGAGTCCCTGGTGGTACAAATGGTTAAGCACTTGACAACTAGCTACTAGAGGTTGATGGCTCAGATGCACCCAAAGACCAACGGCAACTGGGAATACAGGAAGAAAGGTCTGGAAAACGGCTTGTGAAGGGGTGGCAGCCCTGAGAATCACGGGCACACTTGAAGATGCCGTGGGTTGGAGTTTATTTGTTCATTATGATGCTTTCACAAACAGATACACAAAACCGAAAAAGGGGTGCTGGTGATTTGTCTTTTTGACTCCCTACATCCAGTGAGCAAGCGCACAGGGGGTTATGACTTCTCTCCCCTAAAAAGCTCTCCCGCGTGCCCTCTCACCTCTACCACCAGAGCTTCAATCTGGTCCCAGATGTGATCTGTCTAGTCCGTTCTAGGTCACCGAGACCACAATGAAACAACGCCTGCTCTGGTGGCATCCTCATACACATTAACAGGTTCCAGCCCATTGTTGTCGCTACTGTGTCATTCCATCCCGTTGAGTTTCATCCTATTTTCTGTGGACCATCTACTTTACCAAGCATGATGCTTTTTTAGGGACTTATCCCTCCTGATAAAACATCCAAAATGAGGGAGACAAGCCTCGACATCCTCACTTCTAAGGAGCATCCAGGTTGTACCTCTGAGACAGATTTTGCATTCTTCTGGCAATCCTTGGCAAAGTAAGCATTCCCCACCTATACCATAAGTTCCAAAACTTATTTGGTCCACGGCCTCCTTTGCAGGCAAAATATTACTCAGCATTCCCTGACAATGAAAAACTTTTGTACTGCACCCCATAATTCAAGATAAAGTGTGGGTATCTGCCTTTGCATCCCCTCTGGATTGGTCTAGCACCAGCCCTCCCCCATCCCACCTAAAGGGGGCGGCAGTATCATTCACTTAGAGAAACACTGGCTTGTACCCTAATCGAAGACATCAAGTCTGTTTCCCTCTTCCTTATTCATTGTCCATCTTTTGTATGCAAATCAGGTGACTGAAAAGACCAATATCCTTTGTCCCAAAGGTGACACATTTGGTTTGTAACATTTCAAATAGGTCTTTTGCAGATATACCCAATGTGATGTTTTTTGATTCTTGACTTCTGCTTCCATGGGCATGGTGTTAGTCTGGGTGGACTAGAGAAACAAATTCATAGACACTCATATGTGTATAAGAAAGAGCTTTCTATACAAGAGCAATTGAATATCGAGAAACACCCCAGTCCAGTCCAGATCAAGTCCGTAAATCCTATATTAACCCATATGTCCAATGCCAATCTATAAACTCCTCTTCAGACTCATGATACACATGCAATGATGCTGAATGCAGGACGATCACAGGCCAGTGGGTGGAAAGTCTTGTGGATCCAGTGGCAGTGGAAGCATCTCAGCGCTGGCAGGGGTCTCCACGTGGCTCCTTCAGCTCCAGGGCTCTGGTGTACCTCCATGTGTCTTCTTCACAGGAGTGTCTCCCAGGGAGTAAGCATGTGTCCCACCTCCAGTGAGCTATCTCCTTAGCACCTCCAAATGAGGTCATCAAGCTGAGACCTGATTGACAAGCTAAACTCCACACTTTCACTCTAAGTCTCAAATTGACAGCAGATTATGTAACCACCGCAGGCACTGATTGTAGATTCAAGTAGAATAAACTCTCGGACAACTTTACTATTTTCTCTATGACTGGTCCCGTTGTGAAGATTTCTATTTTATGTGCATGCTGAAAGCTGACGTCTTTGATCTTCCTAAGCGCTTCCAGTGAAAGATTGTGTTGTTATGGATTTAAGACACAAGGAGGATTTAATATATGGTTTCTGGCTTTGAAGAGGAAGGGCACACATGTAAGGAAGAGAACTGCCTTCAGAGGAGCTGAGAATGACTCCCTGACAGCCATCAAGAAGGCAGGGCCTTCCATAGCCTCAGGAAACTGGAATGAATTTGGAAAAGGCTTCTTCCCTAGATCCTAGTCCTAGATGAGAGCCCAACTGGGGGAGGGAACAGTAGGATAAAGAAGAGTGGCTAAGTCACAGACACAGATCATGTCTGAATTTTAAGGATTATGGGCAATTGTAGACAAAGTAAGATCTACCTACAAACAATATTGAGTATTATTATCACAAACTACTCAGAAAACAAGGGGGCCCCCATGTCATAGCTAAATACAGAAACTGTGTTTAAGCCAGTGGAGGGTATGTTTTCTGTGCCACCTGCTGGCGAAAATTCTTTGCTTTCAAGGGCTCGCATGATTAGATTAGGCCCACCCAGATACTGTCCTTTTGTGATAATCTAACGCAATGCAGTAAGCAGGACATCTCATCATTTTCATATGCCTGGGCACCGGGGTGGGAAACCATTGCGGTAGATTTTAGGACTCCACCTACCAGTGTCAGTAAAACTCCTGGAAAGCAGTATTACATCATGCTGCTGTTACTGACATCACACAGGTGGGTGACTAACACACTGTTTCCTCGTGGTTTAGGAGACTCAGACCGTCTGAATTTAGCACGCTGGCTCCAGACACCTTTCTCTTGTTGGTTCTGGAGGCCGGTCTTGCCCTTCTCTCTGCTACCTGATCCCTAGAGGATCTGCATCCATCTTACTCCATCACGTCCTTGCTCCTGTGTTGCTGTTGGGTGCCACCAAGTCGACGCCAACCCACAACGACACTGTGCACAACAGAAGGAAACACTGCCTGGTCTTGCACCACCTTCCCCATTGTTCCCAAACCGGAAACCACTGTTGCAGCCCCTGCATAAAGCCATCTCGTCGAGGGGTTTCCTCGTTTGCTAACCCTCAACTTTACCGAGCATGATGGCCTTCTCCAGGGACTGGTCTCTGACAACACGCCCAGCATGTGTAAGATGAAGTCTCCCCATCCCTGCCTCTGCGAAGCACGTGGCTGTTTTTCTTCCAGGACAGATGTGTTTGTCCTTTCTGGCAGTCCGTAGTACGTTCAGTCTTCTTCACCAGCGCCACAATTCAGACACATCGATTCCTCTTCCGTCATCCTGATTCCATGTCCAACTTTCACATGCAGATGAGGCACCTGAACATATCCTGGCTTGAGTCAGACAAGACTCAAGTTACAGCAAGAGTCTTTTAAATGTTTGTTTTATTGGAATTGACTATTTCCATACTGGAAAATATTAAAAACAGAACCACAGCTCAGTGGCTCCTGCATGTGTGCTCTCTCTCACCATCTCTCACACCCACACAAACATGTCTATTTCTGTGTACTTATCATTTAGAAGCACTTTATGATAACTTAAAAGTACATTTATAAAGACTACATAAGATATGCTCCAATAGTTACATAAAATAATAAACAAGATATAAAAATGTATGCACACTACCATATCAAGTGTATTTTTGAAATAAAAACTAAATTAAAAAATTGTGTGGATGCAAGAAGTTAAATTGTGGAAAGCCAAGATAAACAAATCACGTGAACTGTTCCCAACAAGCTTACTGTTGAGGTGGGAAAAATACGCATACAAATCATTTCAACATGAGGGTGAACATGAGAAGTGCTCTAATTCAGGAAGCCAAAGCCAAACAATAAAACCAGTGGAACACAAAGGAAGTCAAAATTAGGGGAAGTGCTACGGAGACAAAGGGATCTTTAGAACTCAGTAGGAATGGAAGGCAAGTTCCTAACCAGACGGTCCCCGGCATCCATAAAATGATGCCTGTGCTCACCAGCCCGTGTGAACACGCGGTGTCCATAGGGTCAGATATCAGGCATCAGAAGATCCAAAACTATCACACTGATGCAAATGAGAGTGATAGGGTGGAGACCCAAAAGCACATCTGTAGACAATCAGACATCCCCGACCAGGGCCACAAGGAAGGGACGAATCAGCCAGGGTGCATGCAGTATAACAGCGATGGAACACGTAACATTCCTCTAGTTCTTCAATGCTTTCTCCCCCCACCCCATCCCCGCCCACTCTCATGACCCCAGGTCTACCTTACAAATCTGGCTAGAATGGAGAATGTACATTCATACAGATAAGAGCTCTCAACACATGGAATCCAGGATAGATAAACCCCCCAGGAACAGTAATGGGAGTAAGGAAACCATGAAGGTGGGGTAAGGTGGGGGGAAGAAGGGGAAACTGATTGAAATGATCCAAGTATAAGACCACCCCCACCCCCATCCAGGGGAAAGAACAACAGAAACATGGGTGAAGGGAG